AGCAGCGCCAGCAGCGCGCCGTAGAACGCCAGCCGGCCGGACCGGCTCAGACTGAGCGCCAGCGCTTGCACCGCACTGCGCGCGCTCCGCACCTCCGGCAGCAGCACGGTCACGTACTCCTCAGCCCAGCGACGGCTAGCCGACATGGCGCATGTTGACGCCCGCGGCGCGACCGGCGGCCCGTCGGCGGGCGGCTCCCGGGCGGACGCCGCCGTCCGGCACTGCGCCGCCGCGCCGCCGCAGCCCGCAGCCACCGGCGCTCCGCTGCCGCCGACACCGCCATCTATTGCGGCCGAAACGAATCAACAAGTGCGATCGATAGTGTGCCGTCGGCGGCCGAGGCCGCCGGCGCCGACCGGCCGCTCGACGGCGCTCGTCGGCGCTCGACGGCGCAGCTTGCCAATTAGACGCCCCGCGGAGGAAATGACGACGCTCAGCTGCGCCCCCCGCCGCGCCGGCACCCGAGCGGCACAGTAAACAGGCTGCAGGATCAGCCCGCAGCCGTCGACAGGCGCGCTGGCAGCCGCCGCCCTCGGCCGGTGTCGAGTGGGTGCGCGGCGCCGGCACAGGATATGAGCAGCCGGCCTGGGTGGCCCGCGGCGGATGTTCACCACTCGACTGATCAGTGGACCGCCGACCGCGCTGAGCCCGGCGCCGGAGCGCTGATTTGAACCACCCACGCTCTTGAAAGCGCCAGCCCGGCGACTCTGAAGGCAGGCGGGTTGCATCAGTTTAGCTCGAAGAGACCCGCCACACTCGCGCAGGCCGCCCCCGAAACATATCCAAAATATGACAAATTGTTCCACAAGGTGCTCCAAGTCAATGATGCGCGTCACAGGTGGATTTTATTCGTATTAGTTGAGGCATTCTGAGAGGTCTCGACGAGTGTGTCATTTCATTTAGACATCCCTCGGAGTTCAGAGAAAGCGCCCGCTGGTCCATCCGCCCGGACCTGGGGCTGTTGTACGACATAAACAACCACAAGATCTCTGTTGCTTAATGACGCGGAGAAACGCTAGTCGTTTGGAGAAAAGTGCACTTTATATGACGGACGTAATCTCGTGATCTCAGAGTTGTGTATTTACTGGCTTGCGTCCAACTATCTAGTCCGTGAAATAAAAACAAACGCAAATGGCAAGCTGACCAACTTTGATACAAAGCTACACGCGGCAAAGTTGGCGTCAAAGTGCACTATCTGAGATGCTCTCTCGAACTAACGCAATTTTAACCAGGTTTGTTATGTTCACCCAACTTCTCCCACTAAGCTCATCGTAATTGAAAAAAAAAATCCGTCCAGCAAACTCAGGCGTGTTATCTGAAATAGAAGTCATAATAAATAATTAGTAAGTATACTGGTAATATCCCAATCGTGAACAGTCTTGGTCACCGGTCAGTATGGTCGATGAAACTATGGGAGAGTAGCAAGAGGTAGTTGGGCATTTTATATTTTTCCTGAATGAATTGGGTAGATGATTGTGTTTGCAGAAACGCCTTTAACTACATTAGCTAGGCACCGGTCAGCTCATTTATCTAGCAAAATTGTGATTATGGATAGTGGAGATCGTATCCGATCGCATTTCAGAAATGATCCAACATCCATAGCATTTTCAACAGCATGTATATATGTATATGATTGGTACTCAGCCTTGCCTCCTTTTAATTCGATGCTGTTTAATTAGTAGTAATTAATTACCTATGTGCGACTTAAACGGACAGAGCAGTCGCTGCTTGTCCTATAGAAAGGGAAGGTTTGCGCTGTCGTCGGCCCACTCCCGCGGGACCGGCGACTGACTGCGAGGTAGACTGTGCCGCAATACACGGACGGCTTGCGGCACAGCATGCCAGTAACATTATGTGTGGGTATAGGTGAAAGGAATAGGCCAGCTTACGAGCTTACCGGCTTCTAGCATTGTCGTTGATGACTGGCGAGCAATACCGAAAATACAATGGTATGCATAATGCATCAATTGCCTCCGTGGATTTGTACGATGCACACAATTATTTACCAAGTGTGAAGGGTGTACCGTATACCCACCTATTGTTAACATCATTTACATGCGTACACTTATGACAGCTGTTGTGACAATTAAAGGACTCTCCCGGCTCCCACCTTTAAAAATTCATGAATTGGCATAAAAGCGATGTCTCGTGGTTCAGAAGGATAAAAAATGAACATCTACCAAATTTCACCGAAAAATGTTCACTATTTTTCAAGGTATTACACTTTTACTTTTGTTTACTTTTTTGGACCTCCGCTATTCCTACGACGTCATTTTGAAGCAATAATTTGGCATCCTTTAAGTGCGATAGATATTGCGCGCGAAGCATATCATATCATCATCATATCACATATATTTGAGCATCCAGACGCATGTATGAATTAGTACAAAAGCACAGAGGCGGATCCAGCTCAGAGTTTTTTTTTTGGGGGGGGGGAGCAAACCATAACAATTTATCGATTCTTTCCATGCCTCGTCCATAGGCGTAATGTTAAAATTATGCCAACAATCACCCCACAATCCACATCACGCATCACCAGTCCACATCAGTCTAAGGAGTCACTCATCACGATGCAAGAAAAAAGCAGCATATACCACCACGTTTTAACGATGGCTTTAGGCTTTAGCATAAGATTCAAAAATCGTTAGATCTCCTTTAACCCTATTAGTGGCAGGGGGGTTGTTTTTATCCACCCCTCAGGTTTTTCGGGAATATCTCCGAAACCGCTGAAGCTACGATGCTGAAATTTTCTGACTTTTCCTAAAACTAAATTGGGCACATTCCCTGAAAATTTCAAGTTCATAACTTTACCAGGGGCGGCTCCAGAGCACTTGGAATTGGGTGTCCTATTCGTGAAGCGAGTCATTTGGGCGAAGATCACGATGCTGCACCAGTTTTACGAACAGTGAATGAAAGGTATCATGTGATAACATATACAAAGTTATTGTGCATCCTCTTTTGACACGTTTTTGCTATAATAGGCGGATCCAGGCGTCCAAAAAGGGGGGTTATTTTTTTACCTCCCAACATAGGTGCCCTGACACCGCCTATGAATGACCAATACAATTTTAGTCGTTCTCTCATAAGAAAATTGTAACATAACAAGACCATTGCCACCCTTTTTAGAAACAGTACCAACAAAAACCTTATTTACTATACTTTTTGTGTACCCCCAATCTCAATGATCTGTATCCGCCTATGATTTTTGAAAATGCATATTTTTAGGATCCATGTGAATTCCTGGTTCATTCTCTATCGATCGGCAAAAGTTGCGTTAAGATTGGTTCAGAAACCTGGCCGTGATAAACAGTCTAAAATGTATCTGCAATTTGCCCGTTTTTACCCCCCTCTACCCCCTATTGACATTTTTTAATTTTATTTTTTTTTTTGAAATGTAGATCTCGTTGAGCCAAATCGAATGCCGTTTGAATTTTGAAAATCGGCCGGTTAGATCTCGAGATATCAAGGGGGGGGGTCGTAAACAGCCCCCCCCCCTGCCACTAATATGGGGTAGCCAGGAGCCTGCCACTAATAGGGTTAACACCACAAATTCAAGGGTGCATGCAAATGCATTAGCCCCTTAGAATTCGAAAACTGCAACTTTGAATTTAAATATATCCGAATTAAAGCATTTCCCGATGTTGTGAGTGCCCAAACCGGTAATTGCAAGCCAGGGACCCCAATTTGGCTATCTCAACTCAAAACTAATGTTATGGTGGGATGATCACTTTAACACTCTGCGTATTTAGTCGTAGCTGGATTATAGCCTATAAGGTGCTCTTTCTCTAAGGTTATGTTTCCTTCAATCTTGTTTTGCATCAAATGGTATGCAAGGTTTCCAGTGTTTGATGATTTCGCGGATGGTTATTAATTTGATTCATTGTTTGCCTTATGTAAACGTGTGTTCAGTTTTTATTGACATTCTTTTGAAAGCTCGCATCAAAACACGTTTTACGCCAAATAGCATCTGGAAAGGTAATACCGTTTGAAAGCTAATGTAAAGTGATATGGGAGCAAAGAGCGAACACTGCCTCAAAAGACCTATCGTACTTCTAAAGAAATTGTCAGAGTGCGCAATGTTCCCGCTCAGTTCAAACACACAGCACTATGATTCACCTTTTTCTGTTCACCACCGAGAGCTCACGGTCGTCCATCGGCTGTGGGAACGTCACGTCAATGGTTCTGAATTATTGAGAGCTGCGGGCCAAGCCGCGGCCCGGCCGTGGCCGCAGGTGTAGTCCGATCGCCACTCCTCTGTGATGTGCCCCGTGCCGAGACGGCCGACCGGCACGCGCCCTCAAAGGAGGTCTACTTGAGTGGGATCGGCGGCCCTTGGCGATGGCTAGCGGCTAGTGTGTGGTGCCTGTCGATCAGTCGATGGCCCGACAGCCTCGGGCAGATAGGTTGGTGCGGACGGAGGAGTGGGGGACTCGGGGGTGAGGGTGCGATGGGGACAACAGGACGGCATGATAGAATAAGAGAAAAGGGAGGGTATTCGAAGGGTAGTCCCGGGAGAAAGAGAGAGAGAGAGAGAGAGAGAGAGAGAGAGAGAGAGAGAGAGAGAGGGAGAGAGAAAGAGGGTAGGGAGGGAAAGAGAGAGCATGAAAGAAACGAAAGAAAGAGCGAGGGAGGTGAAATGAAAGGAAGAAAGTTAAAAAGCCGCGCAAGATGCGAGGCCTTGTGTCGATCGATACGATTAGATAGTCATTAACCATTAACCAAAATACATATTGTACGGTGACTCACGCTAGGTACTCTGCGGAGTCCGGCTTCCATGAGCGCATGGAAGCTGTCGTATTATCCCATGGCGAAAGGATGTGTTACACATTGGTTCACGTGTTATCTTGAAAAGTTTATCACTCGATGGATAACTGAGTTGTTAAACATGCGGGAGGGGTTTAACAAATTGTTAAACCCCTTGTTGTGACGTCACATTTCATACAGGGATGGGGTATTGAAATTAAATGTGTTAATTCATTTGAATAACCAAAACAAACATCGGTGATCCATCATATGACGATATGTATTTCAATCACATCGCATCACATTCAAAACATTCGAGTTGCAGGCTGAACAAGCATAACGTTTTAATGGTGACAGTTTTCAAAATCACTATTCAAATCACTCCACTCCTTGTTGTCTAGCGCCCTCGTAACTTATCAGTTACGACTGTACACATAGAATGTACAGCCATTGAAGTTCCCACTGAATCCGCTCGCACCAGTCGACATGCTCTGCGCGTGAACATCTTGCCCCCCATCCGCGCGAGACACAACTTCTGTCCTCTTGACTGGCCCAGCAGGATGGCTCTCTCCTGCGACCACAGCCGACATTCTCTTCTGCATTTTTTCATCGGCTTCGGCGTAGCTCGATAGAGAACTAACACTCTTATGTCCCGTAAGCTGCGCAATGAAATGCGGCGCCACTTGAGCGTCAAGGAGTCGTTTAACGCCGGTCTTGCGGCCGCTGTGGTTGGTAAACCTGTTTCCTTCTAAGCCCGCGTCAATCGCTGTCTCTTTCATCATCTTGCTGAGGCTGCCGTTGCCGAGCGGCTGGTTTTTATACCAGTCTTCTTTGCTCTGGTAGTTGATGGCTAGGTAGAACGCTGGGTGTTCTTTGTTGTGTCTCTTTTCTTCATATAGCTTGAAAAGAGCCACCGCACAGCTTTCGGAACACTGACCCTCACAAGTACAGTATATCTTGGGGGTGAATGGGCGTCCCGGGCATGCACCTTTTCTCGTCTTAGTAGCTCGCTCCTGAAACTCGATGAAGGTCCCTTCAGACGATTCACCGAGCTTCACATCGCCCCATTGCATGTCACGGTGTTCTTGAACACCACGAAGACCGAAGCCAGTGGTAAACTTCCACCAGAGTGCCCGCAAGAGACACTTAGGCGAGTGTTTCCCCATTGCTCCACTAGTCCAAGGTTTCTTCTCATCATCTTCGCTGAGGGGCATTGCACGATTCGGCCGATTTCCCTTTCCTGCTCCCTTCGCAATTGTCACCTTTGCCGACAGACAAGCCCGAAACTTATCATATTCTTTCCCACTCAGATCTGGTTGCGGGTGCTTCACGGCCTTCAGATGTCTCTCCAGCGAATACCGAACGCCGTTGTAAGTAGAAATTTCAAATGGATCGCCATTGTCCTTGTTAAGTTCCATGATAAATTCGCATAGAATTATGTTCAGCTCCCTTGCCGGAATAGTCTCTATCGGTCTAGTCTCATTCTTTCTTTGTAGAAAAGCGTCTAACTTCCGGATATCTGACTTGGTTTTCTTAGTCGTTGCCGCCGGCACCTGATTTTGAATAAACTTGTCAATTCTTTCTTCCACATTTTCATCTGGTTCATCATCATAGTCCAGGAACCCTTGAAACATGTCAAAATTAGGTAACTCCCTTTCATGGTTCATATCGACCCAGAAAGTAGTTAGACCAAGAAGAAGTAGAAATTAATTAGTACAATAAAGTAATCAGACCCCTACTATCAAAAAGTAACGAGAAAGTAATCCAAGGAAGTAATCATGGAAGCTGATAAATATTTTGCAGATGGCTTTGTGAGCTTGTATATTTATTGAAGAACGCGCAACCGCCACGGGATAAAACAATTAAACCACTCGCAGGAAAAAAAATCATTTAAACGTCTCGCCTGCGGCTCGACGTTTAAATGATTTTTATTCCTGCTCGTGGTTTAATATATAATATCTCACCGCAGTCCGCCTCACCTGTCAGCCGTAGACGCGCGTTATATTGAGCGCACTGCGAGGCTTCATGACGTTCCGTTGATACAGTGCGTTAATATAATACTGGAATACTAGGCCAGTTGATGATACATTGCGTCAGCATATTAGACTTGGAAAGCATGGAGGAGTTACGAAGTTTGAGCTTGTAGGCAAGGGTAGCGTCCTGAACGTGAGGCGCATTAAAAACTAGGAAAATGTACCTGCTGCATATGAAATTGCAGCTGAATTAAGAAATTTACGCCATTCACTCGGGAAAATTGCAGTGAATTTTACATAACGAGACCGCAGATGCTTTGGCGCATATTCACAGACGTAACATAACTTAGTTGCAAAAATTGGCTCGGTATAGCATAGCCTTTATCCCAGAGCCCGTCTCTGCTCCTGGCCGCTCCTGGGCGCGGTCACCATTGATCCGGCACGGTTCAGTGGTCTGGTGTAGCCATGCGCGCATACCGCGGCCATTGTCTCAGTACTGCGGCCATTGTCTAGGGCAATCGCCACTGACAGCTTCCAGACTCCCCGGCAGACTAATAAACAGTCCGATCGCCGTCACTCCGCGCCGACCGCACCCAGCCAGCTCACCAGTTCCCGGACGCTTTGATCGGTGGGCATTTATTTTCGTAGCGCCTCGCATTATGGCATGATCATGGACCATGGAAGCCAAGGTGTTTTCGCGGTCAATGTGGAATAAGTGTTGGTATGTGGTGGGATAGGCACCACCAGGAAGTTCGAGACTAATCAATAGTTGTCAATTACCCGCGCCAAGACGACGAGCGTAACAACATTATTCTCAATGACGTTATGCCCGTCTCAAGAAGTTTGTCATGTAGCTCATCATGGAACAGAATGACTCAATTTATCGCCGGCAGATTGCAGCTGCGGAGGTGCGTGCGGAACTCCGCCACCGCCTGTTTACTTATCGCTTCGACCGGTGACGTCACCTGATCGTGACGTCACACCGGCAGCAATTAACGGACAATCGGGCGGCTGGTCGATTGGTTCCTGTGTTCGCCGATGGTGCCTGCCGCACAGATCGACTAGGGGGGGGGGGCGGAGCGCCTCCCTCCCTGGTGGGAGGGGGCGGAGGGAGGGAGTGCTCCGCAGGAGTGGAGGACGCAGCCACCCGGCACCCACTCCGCGTTTCCGCCGGCAAGCGCAAGAATGCGGAAACAAAGCAAAAACACGACGTAAGGTCTACGGAGGACTTTTGTTTAAGAAGCCTCAGGAGGAAGCTTTTTAGGCAAGATGCTTAAAATTTCGTCGACATTTTTTTCAGATGCCCTCCTCAGTGGCGAACTACTCGTAATCCATGGTAGGAGTCGCCAAATAGTCGCCAGAAAGTGCGACTCCATACCTAAGCAACGGCGAAGGCCCACAAACGCCGACAGTGGCACACACAGTCCGCATCAGACGGTAATATAATTTCTCAAATAGCGCCACCGGCTCTCTGCGGCCGTAAGGCAGTGTGGACTGTGGGATATGTGTGCGTCATGCAGACGTCTGGCTTCTCTGCTGGGGAGCCGGGGTCAACTCCCAGGGCGCGCCTATGAATGACCCGGCCGGCGTCCATGTAATAGCCCATGTAGCGGGCTGAGAGCTCCAATTAGCACCCTGTCCCGAGAGGACGCGTCGCTCGGCCCACAAACCAGCCTCATGTCCACAGGGCGATGGATGACACTGGCTGTGTAGGCGAGGTCTCGGGACCAGTGCCAACCCCGCCGATAGTCGGGGGCATGCGGCTGTTAGCGCCGAGTCGACCTCGCCGAGTTGGTGAAAAAGAGGGAGGTAGAGAACACACTTTAGACGAGCATGGGGAGGGAAGCGTGCACTGCGGTGGATAAGTAGCGGGTCGATGCGGCGCGGCCCTTTGTGCCACCGGGTCGGCCGATAAGGGGCTGAGCCGCTCGGCATTGACCACACAACTGCCTCAAGAGAGCCACGCTAAGCCGCGCTGGCCACGAAACTGTTGCATAAGCAATGCCGCCGCGCCAAGAGTCTCGGGCGAATCCAATAAATTTTCCACAGAAGTTCCCCGCGGACTGAGCATGAATTGTGGTTGAACTGGAGCAGTGTGAACTTACGAATTCTGCACGAATGCGTGTCTGAGTACAGAAGTGGGCGCTCTTTTCTACAATGCACAAGGAAAATAATCGCACGGCGCTTTCAGAACAGCTAGGAATCCCGTTATGAATCGTGCATAATTCTTTAAATATTTGAAGAGAAGGTTGCAAAGGTCATTTCACAAAGTAAGTCGTTAGTTTCTTTGTTGAATGAAGGAGTGGCGAATTGAGTGGCGCCCTAATGCTACTAGTCTTTACCACCCTTGCGATATATACGCAATGCACCGCTGATTCTGAGGAAGGGCATTTGGGGCATTTGCCCCTCCCACAGCGTGCAACAATGATGCAGCCTTACTTTCCTCCCATGGAAAGAACACTACTGCAGGGCCTCGGCTAACATGTTAACTGGTGGGCCAAATGGCCCACCAGTGACCCGAAATGGCCCACCAGCCTCAAAGATTTGGCCCACCAGTAATTTTCCGAAAAAATCTAAGTTTTCACATTTTTCTCATTTAAAATTGAATTCGCAGATTTTATCGTACATTTTAGGCTGTAAAGTACCCACCGGTGAAACATATTCTTGTGAAAAAAACTTCAACCTATTGTTCGCAATATCCTCTTGGGGTAAAAAGTGGACTATAGTAACCGCAACTTAAAAAAAAAATCCACCACTTACCGACGTCTTTGCTGTATGATTTTTACTCCGATTTCCATGTGACGTCACAGTCAAATTGCTGCCATATTTTGCACCATCGATCGATCGAGTGGTTGCAGTCACATAAGCATCTGCCGCAGACCAGTCGGTTACAAGAAAAACTACGAATAAAGAACAGACCAGTTCAGACGGTCGGGGATAAGCCTGCGAGCGATCTCAGACGGCTCGCCGAGAGATACGATATAAGCCAGAGTCAAACTAGAGGTAGTGTCGGCAACTTCCAGCCAATTGAAGTCTGCAAGCGATATTATGCGTCTTCACGACCGGTAGGTATAATGCTTGCAGTCACACATCTGACCAGTCGGACCTTTCGAACCGTTCACAGTCAGCGTTCCAAAAATTTCTCATTTGGGCTGAAGATGACACTCAAGAATAAGAATGGAAAATTTTCCACTCTCACATTTTGGGTGGCTAGAATTTTCCACCCAGACACCCAAGAGAAATCTGAAGTTTGGGACATTGTTCACCAGAAGTGTACATAACTTTTTTAAGAAAATATTAGGGTTGCGCAGTGCGCTTGGGCTTTTGAGTCAATTTTCTTTCCAGCGACACCAGTAGGCTTAATTATCATTTTCAGAGATGCTGGGGTCGCTGCTACAACTCCCTTTTGGGGTTCCTGCTACAACCCACTTTATATATAAAATTGCACTCGTGCTGTTCACAATTCCTCCCGATCCACCCGACAACGCCCGATCCCGTCCGACCGCTTCCGAATCTCCGACTAGTCGGCGAGCGATCCACTCAGGGATCGCTGGTTTTTAACATCCGACCGGCCGTAAGTAATCGTCAAATATTAATCTGCGTCATACTTGTGCGATTTTATGTGCACCCCCGGAGTATCACCACTGAGAGGGTTGTGGGTCCCTGCTCCCTACTCTCTCTCCTCTCTCTCTCTCTCTCTCTCTCTCCTCTCCTCTCTCCTCCCTACTCTCTCCTCTCAGAGTCGGGGGGGGGGGGGTCGAGCTCCGTTTTTTTTTTACATTTTTTAATGCCATTCTGAAGTTTTTTTTTTGCAGAATAAAGTGGCCGAAATCTGGGGAGAAATCAAAAATTGGGGGGGGGGACTATACGAAGGTCAGCCCATGTCTCTGCCCAAGTGGCCCACCAGTCAAAATTCCTTAGCCGAGACTTTTTACGGGAAAGCCGCTTTGAAAGCACATCCGTGATTAAAAAGGTCAAATCCGGGTTTTTTTCTATTGCAACATATTTCTGGTGGGCAGGACCCCGCTGCATTCACTCATCCACCTTTCTGGATCTACCAATGCAATGTCAAATGTAGCTACCTAGCGCCAAGCACACACAATTTCATCAAAGGAAAAGTGATGCGAGCAATGAATGCGGATCGAAATTAGCCATTGTTTCAACGGTGATTTATTGTTCGATTTCCCAAAGCAAAAGCAAAATGCATGACAAACTTTAATATAATAGGGAACATTGCAAATCAAGTCGAACAGCGAATTGTAAAGAGCGGGAGCATTGCTTATCAAGTCGAACAGCGAATTGTAAAGAGCCAGCCACATGTCGCACTCTACCGAATTCCATAGCATATTGGGAACTGGTTACTGGTTAGGATGGCGAGCAAATATCTCCAACGGCCTAGGGCACAGAGTTGTCCGTCTTTAGAAAACCAGCACGGTGGACATAGCAATAAGAAAATCACGCCTATACTGTGCGATAAAGAAGGCGGGGCGGGTGAACGGGCATCCGGCCTGGAGGCGAGGCTCCTCACGCGAATAACGCGCGCCACTGCGATATTAGGTCCGGCGCATAGTGTCCATATAGGAAAGGAATCCACGATATGCACGTTATTGTTCCGTCCAGGAACTGACACAGACTACTGTTCATTTGCAGCCAGTGATGCGTGACTTCTAAAGACACGCGATAGCGCACGGTCATCAACATAAGGGGGCCGGAACTATTATGCCAGCCGCAGTCAGAACGCACGAAAACAATCAGCGGTAGGTAATTAGCTTCTTGAAGGCCATAATAGTACGCTGTTTTTGATTGTGTATTACGCTTCACTGTCACTCGTGTGTACACACAGCGGGAGCAATCATTACACATACTGCAACACCGGACCGTGTATAGTGTATACGGCCGGCACTTTTTTGGCCCTTAGATCAGCTGAAACGAAGCCGTCCGTCGGCACTCGGGGCTGTATTTCTCCTGGACACATCGATTGCCCCAAAAGCACACCACTCAGTCTCTTAGTGCCCGACGTAAGCACGTCATACGAGTTATCCGTCGTGACCATCCCGTCCCTCCCGTCCATACGAGTTATCCGTCGTGACCATCCCGTCCCTCCCCACCACTGACTCGAGACGGCCGTGGTCATCACTGGTTCGCCCCTGGTCCGCGGGCCGCTCTGCCGCTCCGATCGTCCAGCCGCCTCTCTGCGGCAGACCTCGGTGACAGCGCCCCGCCCCGTGCTCGGGCTGGACGTCGCGATAAGTTCGGCCACACGCGGAAGCCGCGTGCGTGCGACGTAAACACAACTAAGCCGGTCGATGGGATACCACCGGCGCGCGATCTTGCTGCCATCTCGCGACCGGAACGTCAACTTGTAGTTGGCACGCCGCCGCCAGTCCTCGCTCTCACACTGTTCTCACTCACTTTTCTGACTTCGCGGCACCTTTCACCTCATCGTAGACGGGCTCTGCTGCCGCCGCTCCCTTCGCTGCCGCCTCTGCCGCCTCCTTGGCAGCCTTCTCGGCCTCTGCCGCCTTGGCGTCTGCCACCCAGAGGCCGGAGTCGACGCAGCGCTTCATGTGGTAGCGCGCCTCATCCTCGTCCATCTCAGAGATGGTCTTCTGGAGGAGTTCGGTGTCCTGGGTCTCGAAACACTTCTGCAGGGCCTGTCCGAGGAGGAGGAATAGTGGCATTGATGCTGTGGTCGAACCGTTGTTCAGTGATACACTACTACGTGACAATCAGACTTGTGGTGAGAGGGGGGAAGGGGGCTATACCATTTCAGCTCAACGGATACAAAGTGCAGAGTACAATGGGCGCGTGGGGAACTCACGAATAAAATCGTTACTGATAGTTCCAATATAAATGGATGGCACAATTTCCATTTTTCGAAAGATCGACTCTAAGCAGGAAACGATATCGTACTTAAATATCAACGGCAATGGAATTGACATAATACCATATCAGCCATCAATAGCTTCATCGCACGGAATATCAATAAAATATTTAACTGAGGCTCGGCTGTTCCTTCCAACAAACTGTTCCTTAAAAAACACAAACAAACAAGCAAGCAAACAAACAAACAAACAAACAAACAAACAAACAAACAAACAAACAAACAAACAAACAAAAATCCAGTCATGAAGCTGTAAGAATGTTATTGTAGGTCAGAACACATTAGCTGTAAGTAACTCCCCTCCGCCAGTGCCCATTCACCCACCCCGCCTTCCCCTTACCTCTGGTAGGGACTCGAACACCTCAGCGGGGTCCAGTCCGCCGGGACCGAGACGCTTCTGGCGCTCCTCCTCCTCGTATTCCTTCATCGCCTCGTCCACCTTCTGCTTGGCGCGCGTGCGGATACGCGACTTGAACGCCTCCACCTCGGTATCGAACGCCTTCTTGTAGTCCTGGTCGGCAACCTGGATCCTGGGGTTGAACACGGAGATCGGGTGTGGTGAGATTACTATGGAAGTGAGTTCAAATACGCCCCTTGCATTCAAGTAGAGCTAACGGCAAAGGCCTGATAACGGTATGTGGATAGCGCCAGTCGTATGCGATACAAAAATTGGCGCGTAAGTTTTTCAATCGATTCTCAAAAAGTGAAATTGTGGCTATAAAATTCCATTTAAGAAGGAAAATAAATATTTCGAGCACGATTACTCCACATAAACTAACCACTTTATGACTATCAGTGGTTCCAACATAATATACCCGTGGCTCGTCACCGACTCACTTTGTGAAGAAGGACGACACACAGGCCTTGGGATCGACATCCATCTGTTTGCCCAACTCAAGGATGTAGTTCATGCAGATACACTGGTGGGCCACGTGCTCCATCAGACTGTGTTTCTGTAAAACAAAAACATTTGTATGAGATTAGATGCGGTGCTCGTGTAAAATGACTCGAAGCCGAGATTCTAAGATGCCGAAATCAAGCAGCGACACTGGTTAGGCCAATGTATGATAAATTCTCGTTAGTTAACTGGATTTTTCGGGTTCGTCGACAAGGTCTTCCGAGTTCAAGCTTAGCATGTTAAACCATCGCGATTCAGAAACAATCACGCCTCCAATTTTTTAAAGACATACTTTCATGAGTTCAAGAATTCATCAGTGCTAGGCAAGTAAATCTCAATTACAGACAAGTAAACAAATTAATTCCAAAAGCATGAAGATAATTTGTCCAACAACGTAGGCACTTACCTCCTCCATTTCTAGGTTGATGGCCCAGATGACCAGATAGTTGGCAGTGTCCTCACAGGCCAGGTGCATGTTGTCCTGCAGGAAACGCTTGCTATCGTCGTACTTCCGCAGCATGCCGTACTTCTTGATGTCCTTCTCGTACTTCTTGATGAAGTTGCGCATGCGCTCCTCCCTCTCCTCTTCAGTCATGTCCTCGTCCTTCCGCTTCGGCTTCGCGTTGATGACCGTCTTGGAGAAGCCATCGCTGGAGATCGTGTCCACATTCCACGGCATCAGCTAGAAAATCGGACCTTTGTGAGGGAGGATGGGCGATGTGGAGGCCGCACGAGGAGAATCGAACGAGCCTGCAGAGTCACCGTTCAGTCACGGTATTGCTCCCTTACCAGTATGTTCAATAAGTAAGTTCCGTTTTGATATAACTCGTTTATTTTTTGGCACATCTCAACCAAACATGGCTCACGGCTCGACGAACTCGCCCTGCAGGCGAACGCATCGTTCCCATCGCTTGGCCAGGTCCCGGATGGCCGCATGGAAGCTTTGAGTGAGGGTCTTTTCGCCATACTGGTAAAAAGCAGACCCGAGTGCAGACCGCGAGCCGTACCTCCGGCCCCGGAGATTTTATTCATGTCTGCGAGCAGCCAATAGTCACTGCGTGCAACGTCTGGAGAGTAGGGATGGTATTAGAGCACCTCGATGCCCTCTGCCTGCAGGGCATCCCTCGCCACGAGGGCACGGTGAGGAGGCGCGCAATCCTGGTGGAGGATGAACCGACCACGGGCCTTCTCGGGGGCGGCAACTGGCGATTACTGGCAGGAGATGGTCTCTAATGATCCTGGCGTAGGCTTATGTTTAGGCTTTCTGTTATCGCCTGGACAGTAATCTTTCTGTTGGCCATCACCATCTCCTCCACTTTGGCGACGTCAGTAGCTGTGACCATCGTCCTCAGCCTGCCTGCACGTGCCAGGTCGCGCACGCTCTCCCTCCCCTCCCCAAACTTTTTCTTCCGCTTCCGAACTGCGGAATCACTAGAGCATGGCTCCCGTACACATTCACGAAGTTGGCGTGGATGTTAGCCGCCGGCTAGCCCTGGATAGCTAGGAATCTTATCACTGAACGTTGATCCTCTCGGGTGGCCGATGCCATTTCTAAAGCAGTCTAAAAAAATGGTGTTATTTGATCTGCTCCATATCGTCACAGAAATGGAATAAGAAGCTGAAAATGCGGTCACTTCGACATCAAGGTCTGAATTCTAATCCCTGAAAAAATCGCGTGCGTAAACCGCGTGAATTTTATGTAATTGCTCTCCGGAACTTACTTATTGAACGCACTAGCTGCCAAGTATGTACATGGGTGCTGCCTCGAACAGGAAGCTTCGAATGTGATGGCTCATCGCGGAGAATCAATTGCACGCAGTGTAATACATATATCACTTACCTTCTCCTTTTTCTCGAATTCCGCCCATTCCTTCTTGATGTTCTCAGTCTTGCTCTCAATTTCTGCGAGTGATTTCTTCAGGCTATCCAGGTTAGGGGATCCTTCTTTTTCGGCCTTCTGTACCTTTGCCCTTGCGTCCTCCAATTGCTTTACATACCTGAAACCAGTTAATCAATTAACCTGACACCCATGACCCATACGCAAGAAATCACTATCCCAATAAAATACTGTCACTGAGAGAAAAGGCTGGTTATGCATTCCATTCAGTCGTGGCAATTCTGTGCATTTACCAAAACATGTGATATGCCTGACTTTCTTCATTTCTCAACGACTTAGGAGCACCACCATTACTGATTAAGTATATACCCACATTCTAATTTTGTTTTTAAACTAGTATGTAAATTGTAAGTTCTTCAAGGGCAGTTTGAATTGAGTATTTTCACAAAACTTACTGGTTCTTTTGCGAGGCGAGTTTCTGCTTTTCCTCCTCGTGTTCCTTGGTGCGCTGAACGCGGGCCTCGTGGCGCCATTTGAACAGCGAGGGCGTGTCGATGTTGGGGTGGGTGTCATCCTCGTCGTCCGACACCTGGACAGGGGTGTAGGATTCCAGTCAGATTGGGCAATCAGTGCAGCATTTCCCTGCTTTTACGGATGCTATTCACACAGAAGAGATGCATGAATCAGCCTAATGGGCTGCACACTGAAGCTACACAGTACATAATTGTTGATATGGTAGAACAATTGATTGTGAAACATAAAATGCACAAGCATGATATAATTTTGCACTAAATGCCAACTGAAGTATTCTTCCATGAATAGAATGCCAATATCTACAAACTGAACAAATGGATGGTTTTGAAGGGCTTAGTTATAACCAGGGATGTGGAGCCGGAGCCGGAGCCGCCGGAGCCGGCATATTTTGCCCGGAGCCGGAGCCGTGAAACAATATAGCCCGGAGCCGGAGCCGGAGCCGGAGCCGTCAAAAAAGGGGGCGACTCCGGCTCCTTTTCTTAAGAGGAAACAATTATTTACCTAGTTCGGTTTGACAGTACAAGGCGTAAAACAATGTGGTATTCAGAATAGCCTTGTTATACAAATACAGAAGCAACGTGTACCAATCCCATCGCCTTTTTCTTCCACCCGTATTTAATTGATCGCATAGGGGATGTACTGAGTAGAAGCCAGAGCCGGAGCCGCCGGAGCCGGAGCCGCCGGAGCCGGATCATTTTACTCGGAGCCGGAGCCGGAGCCGCCATGACATTTCACCCGGAGCCGGAGCCGATTTTTTTCTCCGGATCCGGAGCCGGAGCCGTCTGAAATTTCCACGGCTCCGCATCCCTGGTTATAACCCGAGAATGTTGACAATCTCAAATTTCAAACAGTGCTCCTCTTTTCAACATTACTTTTATTGTCCTTTTACTGTGACCTCTTGCTAATGCGAAATTGTTAACATAAATAGTGTAGAAGTGTGACATATGAACATGCATGATTTCTATCTTACCTCAATATCTTTCCATTTGCTATAGTCCACCATCTTCGTTCTAAGCAAGTTGAATCTGTGAAAAACAAATGAGCTGTAAAGCAGGACTGACATGTTTTGTGAGGGGGGAAAGGAGGAGAAAAGAAACATTTACTGTAGACATATACTGTAAAGTGTAAGACCATTAAATATGCAGGTAACTCCAATTTTAACAGGTATCAAGATCCTCCGCACCCAACCAAATATCTTTCAGTTTCATCATATCTACCATGCAAACCTTACCGACAGGTAATACAATCAACAATGTCTTGCCATTTGACAGTTCATTGCATTATTGGATTGAAGGCAGCAAGAGCCTAGCTTGGAGTCATGAGTATGACACTCTTAAAGCAAGATTTCTGATAGGGATAGTTGAGGTTCTTCAAAGACAGGAGCAGCTACCAGCCACAACCTACTCAGGTCTGTTGAATGGGGTGGTCCCTATCCAGCTCCATCAACTTCAATTCCAATTTCATCCATATTCCCCCAATATCCACATTTCCAAATCAGGCAGTACTGCAGTAAGGATCTAAGATTGTCATATAATTTTACTTGATTCAAATTTCCAGACTCAGGAGCACTATTAAAATTTCAATGACAGGCTTACAATTAGCAAGCTGCGTTTCCTACCACAACACATGCCACACATCATTACTTGCGAGCCTTTTGCTGCCACATTGGCGAACCCTACACTCCACAGGAATTTCCACTGGATAACAGGTGAACAATGGCTACGTTTCCATGACACAATCTAAGCCAATTTTGAAAAATGGATTTGTTCCATCATGGCATTTAGGCGTAATTTAAAAATGTTAACATAGGATTAGGTCATAGGTGCTAGCTAAAACCATATATACGCTCATTTTTTGCATAAGGTAAATAGTTTCCAAGAAAAACGCACGTGAAATTTCGCTAAATCGATTTAGACGTGTCATGGAAACGTAGTGAATGTTCGCAATCCAGCATGCGCTTAAGAAGACCACACAGCCACACCTTGTTCTGCTACATCAATCCGCCCAATCCTAATCTCCAATTCCGATTCATGCATTCCAGCTTCTTTTACTTTTAAAACCTGCATCACATAAAATTAGTCTATCTTGATTCTTGATGATATACTCATTTTATTTATTGATAGCAACGAAGCGCACCATATAGCATACCTAACTAAAAAGTCGAAACTGACGAAATTACACTACTTACCAGTCACTAGTGAAAAATAACCAGAAATCAGCTGCGCAGACGGCAGACGACAACGCGTTGACCGTTGATCCTTGAACTGAAGACCAACTGAAGACTCAACGGATCCTTCCCGAAAATCAGGGAGCATTTGGGGTCATGCTGTTCAATTCACGCCCATTTAATTTCGTCAGGTGTTCAAGGTCAGCGACGTAACGAACATTTCCGCCTGATTGAATCCTTCGTTAGCGTCTACAGCTTTCACGTACATCTTTTTCGAACACGACAACAAGCTTTATTGATGTCTGTAGCTCGCCATATTTGTCGCAAATTGAATTGATTTGGTATCTAATCTGCTTCCATATCAGGAAATATTTAGACTAAATTCCTTCATTCGTTTCGCACAAAGCTAGCAATGCAAATGATTCTAAATCAAACGCTCATTTTTATCTCTTTTATGCTAAGGGAGCGTGAAGTAGTGCAGGAGCTGACACCAACAGATGAGACAGGAGTTACCGAGGCCTGAAACATTGCCGAAACAAACAAGGGCAAGGTCAGTAGCGGCGCCGGCGGAACACCTTCCTTTGGTCCCATTCTTTCCATGCAACGCCCATAGGGCTAATGTTAAGGGGGGCACGGTGCCCCGGTGCCCTCCCCGTTCCGCCGCCTATGGAAACAGTGGTTGAAACATAATTATCACGGTGACTTTAATATTTATATAGTTCAAGTTACACTGTGGAAGTAAAGGAATCTTGTAAAGGAATCTTGGTGGAAACACCCATGCCACACAGCCTTGCATGCCACAAACCTGTTGAGTAGGAATATTTTAGGTATTTGTGAAGACCTCTGAAGTTGACCCGAAACGTCCCGTTAGTCCGTTGCTCGACACTCGCGTCAAAAATGCGACACATCAAACACATGCTTTTCAATTCAAAGCACCCTTATATTGCAACTGCCTACAGTTAGCGCAAAATGCAAATGGCATGGTGCCTGGTGGCATGGACATCAGACATGGTGTTATAAATATTTGAAGCCAGTTAACCCGCGCCCCAGTGGCGGTCTCGAGCCAACTTCGTCCTAGTGGGGGGGGGGGGGGCATATGTTACCACCCACCTCTAACTCAAAAACTAAGAGGGCTAGAAAGACGCGGTAAAAAGCAGTTGATAGCTGGGGCATTCCACGATAGATCGTACCAGGCCCGTCACCCTCATCTCTCAGATTTAAATGAAAATTGGTACAAGGGGTAATCATAGGCTCCAAAAACACCTGCCAAAATATCAGACTTCTCAGATGAAAACTTTTTGAGTTACATTGCATATTTTCTAAACTTCAGATTGTAAGGGTGAGTTTGATGAGCTATAACTCAAAAACGAGCTAAGCAAGCAACAAACGGTAAACAGCTCTGAACTAACGATGAATCAAAGATTAATACAGTATTTTTAAAATTGGAAAGAAAAGCTTTACATATTGAAAAAAGTCGTAGTATTTTTTTAAATTGTCTATGATGGCCCTTGGGACCAAATTTTTTGCCATTTTTATTTCTTCAAAATAAACCTCAGATCCTTTAAAATCGACATGCAAAAAATTAGAAAGGTGTTCTTTCTATAAGTTCCTCATTTAAATGTATACAAAATGGGTTTTCGGGGGTTCGGTACGACCCCAGCTCGCCGTTTCGCCTGTAATGGAGCTAGAACCTTGCGGAAAAAACGGGCATGTGCGCCGTTACAAGATGCATCGAATGATACCATATTTTAAGGTCTCGGGTTCATTGGTGACCCCTGAGGTCATTTCAAGTGACCCAAATTACGGGTCCGGTTTTTGATAGATAGCTTCGCAACAAATGGTCGCAGAGCCGCGATTTCAGCATCTTTGTGTTTGCCTAGCTCCGGCGCGTCGAATGGTATCCTGTTTGTTCTGGTGAGGTCAGCTTAAGTCGCTGACCTCGGGTCAGCACACTGCCGTGTATTTGGCTCCGCTCCCCGACCGGGCGGCCCAGCCGGCAGCCAGCCGCCGGGCATCACGTGACCGCCCCGAGTCCGCGGCAAAGCCAACCAGCGCGGCGCTGGACAAACAGCGCCGCCACAGAGATGGTTAACAGTCCGGTCAGGCTACGAAGCTGGGTGAATGAGATCATATTGCACATCATTCGATTCGCAATGTCTTCCCGAGTCCATTGGTAGCTTTCCCGTCTCTCTAGCTCAATTTGATCGAGAGTTATTGACGAAAAACTCTTATTGACCCTAGTGACGTAGGAATGACGTCACGCAAGGTCAGCAATGCAAAAGTGAGGCAAAAATGACTTCAATTGAACTTTCAGTAACCAGTGATGTCACTAGGCAGCTTTACCACACCATTTGTAGGCTCTCTTCCGAAATCACAATTCGAGACCATTACGGTGACCCAAAATAAGTACATTTATAGAAAGAACACCTTCCTAATTTTTTGCATACTACTTAAAAATGATCCAAAAATGTTTTTAAGTAAATAAAAATTCAAAAAAATTTGGTCCCAAAGGCTTAAAAATGCAAATGAAAGGAAACTCGAGGTGTTATATATCAAAAATAATATAAATTTCAAAATTTTAAAAATGCATATTATTCTTTGTTTCAATGCAAGTTCAATGCCGTATAGCATTTGGCATTTGGATTATCCGTCTTAGAGTTACAGCCCGCCAAACTTGGGGCTGCAACGCAAGATCCAAAACATGCTATACACTATAACTCAAAAACCACTAATCTGATAAGCCTGAAATTGTTACAGGAGGATTCAGAGCCCCTGATTACCCCTTAGACCAATTATCGTTAAAATCCGAGAGATGAGGGTGTCAAATTGGAAAAAAGTGGTACGATCTATCGTGGAATGCCCCAGCTCTCAATGCGTACGTACGTTTGAAAGTATTTCGGTCATTTTTCATCTTAGAGCAATATTGGGGTCACCAGAGGTTATCAAAGGTCAAAATTTGCCAAATGTCATTATATTTTTCAGAAAACATGCCGTTATCTCAGGAACTATGATAGCTAGGAAACTGCATGGAAAAGCAATCGATAGCTTTTGAACTCTTCTTTTGATAAGGTCGTAATCAAAATTGACCTCAGGTCAACTTTTAAGCCTCCATAGGTCAAACATTGTGAAAATAGCAGTTTTTTATAAAACTGGTCTGAAAGTAAAGTAGGGGAGAGTGGTGCAAAGTGGCCACCCTAACGCTTCTCACGATGCCAACGCTTGATTTTTAAACTTGGAAAGATTCTTTCTATACCAATGTGATCCCTATTAAGTTGCCTTTTATTTCAACTGCGTTTTATTTCCAAAGGCGTTCACATATGAAAAATATTGACAAAACTTTAAACCTATGCATATTGGCCACTTTGCCCTATACCCTGGGGCGAAGCGGCCACTGGCGTCTTCTCAAGTCCCCATATGAGAAACAAAATTGTTGCCTCATTTACGACTAGGGTATTTGATGGTGACAAGGTTTAAGCGAGGATGGATGTTAACTTTATCATCTTCCACTTGTAGGTAAACAAAGAAAGGATTTTCATGAAAAAAAAAACATTTAATTGCATTATTTGGTAACTCATGCAACCGAAAAGTGGCCAAGATGAATGCCTGACGACACATTTGAATATAAATAATGTTTTTTTATCGAGATGGAAACAACTTATGGCCAATTGGGGGGTGGCCACTTTGCCCCGGCCACTTTGCCCCGCGCATACCGTCCGAGACAACAGTATTCCAGCTTAGCTATTAGTGGGGTAAAAAACATTAAAATTGGTAGAATACATGTACGATAACCATGCAATGCATGGACTATAACGCTTATAAAAATTACAAACGGTTACGGAATAACATAACATTTAAAAATTGTAAACATAGTTGGTAACCTGGCAAGAAATGCTTTTCCGTGTTTCACAGAACAATGGTGATGGGCCTGAAACCCCGGTCTGGCTCATTCGAACGACCGTGAAGAGAAGTATACCTAATTGGAAACCATAAATTGGAACTGACGCCAGCTATGAAGGGCTAAAACGATGGGTGGCCGCTTTGCCCCGGGTGGCCGCTTTGCCCCACTCTCCCCTACATAATATTAGCGAACCTAAGCTAGCTGGTGTTTTTGCGTCATTTCCTTTTTAACGTGGGTTGCTTGACTTGTGGGAGGATTGAGACAAAAAATACCGAAGGCGGGCGATTTTTCTGATAGTAAAACAGTTCGTTTCGCTCTTAGATCCTGAATCGAGAGGAAGATACCTTGCCTCCAATACCAATGTTAAGGTCGATGTCAGGCATATAAGCAATTAGTGTAACCCTAGCTGACAGCTACTAAGAGACACACTGAACCTGATTTGCCCAAATCTGCACCTGATCTGCACCAGATGTGCACCAGTATAACGCCTTTTGGGGCGACTAACGGATCGAGCGAGGGGGTGAGTCTTGCACGTGCGAAATTTCGAGGGGGTACCTCCAGCTGACTTGTGCACGGCACCCTACTAACCGGTCTCTAGCGATGTGCCAAATTTGAGCACAATCGGCCCAGCCGTTCTCGAGATCTGGAAGCGGCACCCTGCACGTGCGCACGTGCAAAATGGGTCCCAACTGACTTTTGCACGGCACCCTACTAACCGGTCCCTAGCCATGTGCCAAATTTGAGCGCCATCGGTCCAGCCGTTCTCGAGATCTGGAAACGACCCCAGCACGTGCGCACGTGCAGCAGCACCCCAACTCTGGCACATGGATATGCATTACCTAGTGGGTGCCTACCTACATGCCAACTTTCAGCGCAATCGGCCAAGTAGTTACCGAGATATTGCAACAATTACAAAAGTGACACCTCTTCGTTTTGCACGTGGCACGTGCATAAGGGGTCACCCACATGCATCGGGAATAGTCCAATACTTGGTAGAAGGAATGAAGCTACCCTACAAAAATTACCGCGTGTAAATCGGTCAAGTGGTTGCTGAGATATAAGCCTCGCAAAAGCGTGACCAAGGCCGGCCGGCCGGCCGCTCATACTCAGAAATTTCCGTTAATCTAAGGAAAGACTACGCTCGCTTCGCTCGCTCCGTAACCAAATGTATACCAGATGGCCGTCGTGAAAACGGCTAATAACTCAAAGGCTATGCTATCGATGCTATCAGTTGGTCGACTTGGAACTCACTCAAATAGATACGCCATGCTGCACTCCTTCGATTAGGTCTATCACTAAACAAACTATACGCCTTGTGTGGCAACAAAATGCAAAAGTTTGTTTTATGGGCAAATATAAACTTTTGGGTTTTGTTGCCGAACTAGATGGAAAATGAATACGGTGATGATGCCAACCTAAGGTGCGGAGTCTCACGTGTCTTGCTGTTACGATTTCCGAGTGACCGATAGCATAGTATTCGCGTTATTCTCGGTTTTGTCGAAAAAAAAAGAATACCTATCACCAGGGCTGCGGAGTCGGAGTCGGAGTCGGAGTCGGAGTCGGAGTCGGTCGGAGTCGACAGTTGTGACCGGAGTCGGAGTCGGAGTCGGAGTCGATTTTAGAAACCCGAGCCGGAGTCGGAGTCGGAGTCACCGAAAATCTGTCGACTCCGCAACCCTACTAGGGCTGCGGAGTCGGAATCGGGAGTTGGAGTCGGTCGGAGTCGACAATTCTGCCCGTAGTCGAAGTCGGAGTCGGAGCTGGTTTTTGAAAGCCGGAGTCGGAGTCGGAGTCGCCGAAAATCCATCGACTCCGCAGCCCTGCCTACCACGCAGTTTGCAGAGGGCTGTACATACCGGGCTTCTCAAAAAAGTTAGACGGACTTCTTTTCCGAATAGAGGACCCCTAACAACATTTGAGCAAAACCAATGCACGTTGAAAAACGGAGAATTTTTCGTAGATTTATATGACAACATGGTTTGAGCTTAAAAAATGAAGCCGTGTTCGTAGGAAGTAAAAGCAAAACTCGTGAAATTATGCTTTCCCAGACTAAGTCGTCGGTTCGACACCACGAGGATCCGCAAACATTTTAGGGCAAAGAGAGCAACATCTTGAAACAAAATTTTCCACATTATTGACAAGTTTCTGGCTCGAGGAAGTGTTAACAATAGGTTCACGCAATTCAAGGAACACAGCGGCGGCCATAAACCCAATCAAAGGCTCACGGCGAACACCACTCGTGTAAGAGATGCGCTACTCAGACCGTCAATGGTCAGCGATATCGGGTGGCTCTGGCGACGTTTTGGAGAGTTTATAAAGTCTGATGGCCAAGAGTTGCGAACGAAAATTATAATTAAAATCTAAATCTTTTTGTATTTCAGACGTTTCGACAACACTGTGTCATCGTCAGTAATTGATATAAAATATTTCCTGAAGTCACAAATCACATTTTTAAAAATAACTGATTTGTGATTTGTGATTTGTGACTTCAGGAAATATTTTATATCAATTACTGACGATGACACAGTGTTGTCGAAACGTCTGAAATACAAAAAGATTTAGATTTTAATTATAATTTTCGTTCGCAACTCTTGGCCATCAGACTTTATAAACATGTCTTACAATACTGAACAATTTTGGAGAGTTCTGCAGTATCAGGGTGAGCAGATATCCGAAAACGCTTAAGATCCAATGGTTCCAGCAAGACGGTGCCACGCCAATGCCGCTAAAGAAAACCGGGAGGGGCTGTGGGAGCGCTTCGGGCAGAGCGTGATCTCGAGGTTCGAGACACGCCCGTGGTCGGGGAATTCTCCGAACGTAACCCCACCGGACATTTTCCTATAGGACCAACTCAAGTCCCAGGTGTACCGAGACCACCCAAAAAGTTTCGAAGATCATAAGGATGCAGTGAAGTCAGCGGTGTGCCGTCTGCAGCTTTCTTCGGGTCGGGCTGCAGCAGAGGTCGCGCTGCGCCGGGCTAAGCTGTGCATCGAGCAAAAAGGGAATCATCTCGAACATGACCTCGGCGCGGCTCAGAAAGGCGACTGCCGAGGATCGAAATCCCCTCAAACGAAATGTCTTTGATGAGGCTTTCAGGTGATACCCAATTATGTTTTGTTACACTGATACACCCTTCAATACGTTAGTTATAAAACCGTCCAACCTTTTTGAGAAGCCCGGTACATACATAGTTTACCGCTACGTGGCCACTGGCCAGGTTTTGAGAGGGTCGCTGTAATGACCTGCACCAGTGCAGTCGGAGGGGCGATACTGCCGGTGCCCATGAGCACCGACCACCGTGCCGCTCAAAGTTCTTACTTGAACCATTCATTCTTAGTATTAGTATCAGGAGCAAATAAATGTATATCCGTTTAGTGTATATCCGTGTACCTATACTGTATATCCGTTCCCTTGTTGCTAAAAAAAGGCTGAGCTTCGGACCAATAAATATATTAATCCATCTTAATTACCAGCGCATATAAATAATTGTACAATATAAATACAAGACATCATGCATACCGAAAAAGGTAAGTACAACAGAGAATATCCAATGTAGAACATCTCCCGAGGACTGGGTATGAACAATCGACGAAAACACAGCGCACGATGGCGCTACCCTAGCATCATTCGCATACAAGATGGCAAACTGTGCACCAGCTCGTCGATTAATCACCTCTGCCCTCGGTGCCCCGCCCAGGATACCGGAACAGGGCATGGACATAAGGCAGTTGGAGGGATAGCACAGTGGGAGAACAGGCATTGACAGTGAAAAGGACGTCATTGGGAGGAAGGGAAGTGGGTCGGGTCCAACAATAGAGCCTGCCGGCCTCTAATATAGGGTCGGAAGTCACTACACTGTCACCTGGGCCACCGTGCAGTGCACAATGCACGTGTCTTCAGATCGTCAACAACAGCTCCTTGTTCGGAGGAAGGTGACGGTCGTAGGACAAAGACGCTGGGTTCTAACTGCGCACCATCGCAAGGGTGTGCAGATTAGCAATCGGTCATCAATCATTTTTCTTAGTCTTTGTCGCACGAATGGCGCAAGTGCAGCTACATTCAGACGATCACCGAACAGTCAAGGACCATCAGCTTGACTGGTGCTGTCCTAAACTGATAGAGGTTTGATTGCTGTGGATAGGTCTGAGAAGGGATTATATATTTTTTTATTCACAAAGTGAAAGTCGTTGAAAGGTGAAACGTTTCAATCGATGTCCCAGTGTGCCGGAGGGTGAGAAGAGAAGAGAATAGCCGAAATGAAGATTACCGCGCTCACATAAATAACGCATTCGCACATAATTTACACATCACACACGATTTTGTTTGTTTGTTTTGTTGGGTTAGGCCCTTTCGGTCTGACAAGACCATTTCAGAGCCGGGAGGATAATAGGATATAGGGGGTGACATTGGTCTGGGCAGGCACCCTAGTGAGTCGCCGGGGCTGAACCCGTCCAGAGGACAGGCCACCCAGCCCCAAGGCACTCACTGCACCCGGCTACGGGGTGCGCTCCCTCGGGAGCAGCGGTGCCGCTCCAAGGGAGCAGCCCGCATGAGATAAAGTTGCCTGTCCAGCCCGGAGGGGGCTGCGGAGTGGAGGAGAAGGATATCTGTATCTTGAGGATAGAAGCATGGAACGGTGATCACACACGAGTGCATGTAGGCACAGCTTACTCGAACAATTGCCTTGGCACGTACCAAACCGGGCGCAGACTGGCACACGGCATTTGTATTCTGAGTCATTTGTGCCGGCAACTCTTTCGTTGTACAATTATTTGACTGATCTGAGCTATTAGGACTCAGAAGTATGTAAAGCGTCACGGAATACAGTTATGGAGAGAAAATGAAGAAAAGTTGGATTATTTGATCAGCTTCATCAAAGGCGTTATTGTGAGCAACCCGCTAAATATTACTTTGTTATTTCTAAAATCCTTATGAAGATGATAATTAATTTTGCATCAAAATTTTGAATTTTGCAAAGATGAGGAACGGAAGGGACAGACGAACTCGTCGTTGTAAGCAACACATGTGGAGCACAGGCTCATCACTCAACAAACAGCACCGAACACTAGAACTCAACAAATCACCAGTAATGCCTCTGTGTCTCCCGGATGTGTTGACATTGTCGCCCCGCTGTCGGCCCGGCGGGGAGGGCCCTCCTCCCGCCCCTAGCTGGGCAGAATACTGACATCGGTCACCAGCGAGAAGTGGTCGCTCGGGTAGGCGAAGCTGGGCGCGCGCGCCTCTCCCAGCTGCTGCTCGGTGGGCGGCGGCAGGATCGACTCGACGCTGAACCGGGACGACGACAGGAACACGTAGTCGAGCGTCTGGCACACCTCGCCCGAGCCGCGGATCTTCCAGGTGGTGTAGTCGGCCTCTGCGCCGGTGGCCTGCACGTAGGCCGAGCTCAGCTCCGGGTCGCTGTCCTGGGTCAGTGTGGCGTACACGGGCTCACTGGGCTCAGCGTTGAAGTCGCCGCAGACGATGATGGGCCGGTTACCGGCGTGGCTGCTGACGAACGACAGCAGGTCCTTGCCCTGCTCACTGCGGATGGCGCTGAGCAGGGCGCCCGAGCGCGCCTTCAGGTGCGTGGTGACGGCGCACACCTCGTGGCCCGTGCGCCGGTCACGCAGAATGGCCAGCACCACCACCTGGCGGCGGAGACGGCGGGCGGCGGTCAGATAGGGTGGACGCAGCAGCCTAACATACGCGAGGTGTGATGTACAAATAGCTGAATGTCCGAATAATTTTCTGACCGCAATAGGCAAAATTATCGCTGAAGCCAAACGACGCTCATTCATTTCGCTCACGACATTTAAGTGGTCATACTCGTGCCGATTCATAAAATTATGCACACGAGAGCCATATAAGATCGGGTCCTCAATCTCATCACTATGCCCATCTCTCTCTCTCTCCCTCTCTCTCCCTCTCTCTCTCTCTCCCTCTCTCTCCCTCTCTTTCTCTCTCTCTCTCTCTCTCTCTCTCTCTCTCTCTCCCTCTCTCTCCCTCTCTCTCTCTCTCTCACCTGGTTGCTCTGCACCTTCCAGACCTCGATGACGCGCGTCTCTGTGCGCACCAGCTCGAACCTCTCGTTCCGGAAGAAGAGCGCACACCCGTCCGGACCGTTGTTTCCCTTGATGTAGATACACGGGGAGTCGGGCTTCTCGAAAAACACGCCCGAGTAACCGATCGTGCCCAGCGCCTTCTGGAAGAACTTGAAGTGGTCCACCTCCTGCGAGAGCGGGGGTTGGCGCTTGGTGTCAGTGAGAAGAAACGTGTCGAAGATCAGACATTGTGTGTCTGTTGTGACCGCTTGCACATTGTTTCGGCATTGCGTATAGACCGTATACTTATTCTCGAACTCAAAAATAGGCCACAAACCTAAATATAATAAAAACTTTCTGCCGTGTGTAAAATGTGCATCACTTAGGAACGTTGAGATGTAACGTAACCTTTTACAGGCATGGCATGCGTATTCTATTTTAAGCCCCCAATTACTACCCCCTTGCCCCAGCTCATTTCCCTCATTCCTTTCCGTATCTGGTCATGCCCGCACATATGGCCCATCATATACTGCCTCTAGTGGGCGGCCACTACACCGTCCCGCCCCGCTCGGCGGCGGGCGTGGCGGCGCCGTATTCGGGTACGGCCCGGGCGGCGTACCTGCAGGCAGAGCACGTCCGGAGCGTAGTGACTGATCTCCTCAATGAGACGGTAGCGGCGCGTCTCCCAGTCCAGAGCCGCAGACGGACACTCGGTGAAGTTGTCGTTGTGCACGCCCAGCGCTGTGGAGAAAATACGACGGTTATAGATTTAAATGATCAGCTAAAATACATATCACTTTTGGCGTTAGAATGAGGGTATGCAATGGAGGGAAAATGTACATGAGAATTACGTTCGATTTATATGAGCTATGAAAGCAATATACGTTCGTTATATAGGTAAGCGTTAACTATGTTTCGTTACTCAAGCATTATTTTGTAACTTGAGTTTGATGGCATAAGAGTAGTCTTTTCAATTTAACCCTCGCCCGCACATGGGGGGGGGGGGTGGTTGCCACCCCCCCAGGCAGTCTTTCTGCTCTGCACTCCACATTTTTAGAGCTAGAAGGCTGATTTTTCGTATAGCTGCTCGTCTATCCTTTCTTGATGTCCACTGAAAATTTCAAGTTTCTGTGATTTTTGGTTTCGGAGATATGACCTTGTTTTTCAGGTCATGTCATGACCCAAATGGCCAATTCTCAACATCTTGCGTTTGCCATGGGCCTTGTGAGCTTCTGACACCCTGATTTCGGCCTTTTTTGCCAGTCTTACCTCCCACCTATCATGGAACATGTTGTTCGACGATGTACAGGGGTCAAGGTCAGGGTCAAGGTCAACCTAGGTCATCTAAGATAATTGCGTTTTAGGCAAGCTGAATTTACTTTTTGTGAAGTTTTTTGACTGCATTTTTGGTAAAAGCTTCTCAGATCATGATTTCATGTGATATGGACCCAAAAACAATCGGTGCACACATCAGTATACACACAGACACACACAGACATACAAACACATATAATTGACCTTGACCTAACTTGACCTGAAATGACCTCAGCAGCAAAATTCTGGTCGGATAGTGTGACAAAGAGGTTCTAGCTGGCTTGGCACCAGAAAACAGCATCGTCATCGGTATTTGATAAGCAGCGCACTTGATATCCAACGATGACCCAAAACAGCAACATTTTTTAGTTTGACCTGACCTGGAAGGTCAATGACTGACCTGAGAAGGTAAAACTGGGTATCATTGGATTCGTCTCTTCCCAAAGAATCTTTTTGGTCTTTACTGCTAAGCTCTATCTCCAACAGGAACGAAATGGCGCGGGGGGGGGGTGGCAACCACCCCCCCCATGTGCGTTCTAGGATGGGAAAATGGCATGTGCGGGCGAGGGTTAACAAACACCTAAGTGACGCCCCTATTCAGCCGTCATCCATCCGCCACCCCCGCCCCACTCACTCTGTGACAGCGTGTTCCACTGCATGATCCTGAACTGGCTGTCGGCGTCTGCAGGCTGCTCGATGACGGTAAACTCGCGTGTCAGCAGCGGCGGCAGCTCGCTCAGCTGCTGACGGCAGTACGACTCCATCTCCGCCGGCGTCATCGACTCCTCCGGGAACGTCAGCGCGTCATCGGCACTGTCCGGGTTCAGGATCTTGGGCGCCGACGTGAAGCTGCCCATCCTGAGGGAGAGAGAGAGAGAACAGGCGTCAGATCGTGGTGAAGATATACGGCATCGGTTTAGCGCTGCCGGAAGGAGCAGCGCTTTATAATGATGATAAAATTGTGTTTTATTCGAAGTGATGCTGGTCAGCGGTGGTCGCCAGACCGACGCCGCCGCTGGCTCTGAGACAGCCCCAAACATGGACGTTCGATGCAGGGGAAAATATATGAATATCCTACAGTAGATAGCTGAGCTTTGGATATTCAGAAGCTTTGTTCGTGTGACGGATGACACGCGTATATGTCTAGGATTGAAAGTCAAGAACAGAGGAGGAAGAATGGAAACTCAAGGGACGATGGGACGGGACGGGATGATCTCGATGAATGCAAGGGAGGACTCAACAGAAAGGCAGCAATTCATGTGTCTCAAATGAATGGCGTTATATGCTACCTCTCACCTCGTCAGGCACTGTGACAGTTTTCGTCTTGCCACAGTCCTTCTTTGTACCTCCTCCCAAAACTCCAAATCCATGGCTGATCGCAGTGGACCGCAGCGCCCGGGGCCTTTAACGCGACACAGGTAACTAGCACCGCGGAGCAATAGTGCAGCGCTGCACATCCACAGAACGATACTGCAGTCGTGAGTGCGAGCGATTACCACCGAGGAATGCCCGCAGAGCACAGCTTATCCCACTTATAGCCTGCGGCGACTGCGAGCCGAGCGTCGCCCGACAGTGGGGCGCCTAGGGGTGACCCAGGTTGACCCCAGATCGGCCCCCGGCTGACCCGACCTGAGTGTTATCACTGAACCGATGGGCCGGCGCGTGGGCGACCCGACTCTGCCCGCCGCCAGAGATATCCATCTCGGTCATGACCTCTCGCTTCGGGCTGCACGTGGGCCGTGTTCAATGTCCGAGCCTCACGGCAGGGTCTGCAGCTGCAGCGAATAACACAGGCTCGCAGCAGTGCGCAGTACTGGGGCGATGGGCAGGTCAACACTGATATTGTCCCTGACTGAATGGGTGCTGTGTCAAACAGAGGCTTATCGGGTCATCGACGACTGAAAAAAAGTCTGATGTGACTAGACTATTTATTTTAAATATATTCCTGCCAGGGGCCGGGATGATTCAATAAATGTCACCGAGGTTTTTTAGCGAAAACTCCGAGGGCCGTTAGGCCCGAGGTTATTTTGCTAAAAAAGCGAAGTGACATTTATTGAATTCCCGGCCTTAGGGCTGGAAGGTGTTTCCCATACCTGCCAAAAAGCTCACAACTATATGAAAGTGACGTCAGCAGCCGTGTGGTTCAACGTGTTTAACCACACCCCTTGAACCACACGGCTTGTAATACCAGTAAAACGCCTTTTGGGCGAAGAACGAGCGAGCGAGATAGTGAGCCCTGCACGTGCGGAAAGGCGAGAGGGTACTTCCAACTGGCTTGTGCAAAGCACCCTTCTAACCGGTCGCTAGCGGTGTTGCAAATTTGAACGCAATCGGCCCAGCCGTTCCTGAGATCTGGGAGCGGCATTCTGCACGTGCGCACGTGCAAACAGGGTCCAAACTGACTTTTGTACGGCACCCTACTAACCGGTCCCCAACCGTGTACCAAATTTGAGCGCAATCGGCCCAGCCATTCTCGAGATCTGGTAGCGCCCCCTGCACGTGCGCACGTGCAGTAGCACCCTAACCGCAACACATGGGAATGCATTGCCTGGTGGGTGCCTACCTGTATGCCAAATTTCAGCGAAATCGCCCCAGTAATTACTGAGTTATTGAAATGGGAACAAATTTGGCACCTCTTCTTTTTGCATTTGCACGTGCAGTGGGGGTCACTCACATAGATCAAAAGTATCCGAACTTTAGTAGAAGGGATGCAGCTACCCTACAAAAATTACCGCAAGACAATCGCCCAAGCGTCTGCTGAGATATGAGCCTCTCAAAATCACTACTTTTGCAAAACAGCTTGAACACCCTTGACTTTTCACGTGGCACGTGCCACGACGGTCACTGAGATGCATCAAAAGTAGTCAATTACGGGGTAGAAGGGATGGGGCTACCCAGCAAAAAGACCGCAGGCCAATCGGTCCAGTGGTTGCTGAGATATAAGCCTCTCAAAAGCGTTACAGGCCGCGCCGGGCCGGGCCGCTCATATTGAGATTTTTCCGTTATATTGAAAAGTAATGCATGAGTAATCTTTGTACTGGAACAAGAGCTGAGCGGATCCATGCAGTGACTGTTGTTTAAAGAACATCTAGCAAATGGAAAGATGCATATTTGTTACACACTGGACATAATTTACACGCGATCCACATCTGCTCGCACGCCCATATTCATCAGTTGGCAGTGCAAGCATGAGTGCGTGTGTGTGTTTTTTTTTAATGCCTTGCCAAACATGCCTATGCGCTTGACCTGAGCCGGGATTTAGAGAGCAAGCATCCATTCACATCACGCTCTGCTGATGAGCCCCACAGTCTGTCAGGGATTCCGCCGCACATCTCAGCCATAACAGGATTACTGGCGCAAATTAAACACGCAACAGCACTTATTTCATCAAAATCCAGCCCTTTATCGCTTGATGGGATGGTTGAGCATGATTTTCATGACTCTCCATGTCGTGAGGAATATAAACATTTCTTAGAAAAGCAGGTGGCTGCGTTTCATCATCTGACTAGTGCAAATACCGAAGGAGTTTGGTCATATTATCGGGGTAGGTAATGAGATGTATCGTAGTTACTCCGCAAACATTTTACAATCAGTTTCTGAGCCCTGTTCGGGTCCGCGCAAAATATTTTGCTGAGTGTGAAGTCACACATGCGATGATGTCAGCCGCCTGGCTCCGCCCATGCTCCGCCCCCTCTCCGCCGGCCCGCAAAGCCGAGGGCCACGCGACACGCGGCGAACCGTGGCGCGGATGGACTGGTGTGTTTCGTTCAATTACTGAGTAAAATGCGTTCAAATGTGGTTAATAGCAATGTGCCACTGAAAAGAAAGATAATGATACCAAAATAACACCATACTAACCACTTACAATAAGAAATATATGAGGGTAAACTTTAATCCGCGCCACTTTCGCCTCCTGCAGCTACTATTTTCTTCTTGCGCAAAACTGAAAGATTTTGCGCGAGCCTACGTCACACGTGTGACGTCATACGCCGAAGGGCGGAGCTTGGCACCCGAGAGACCCCAACTGCACATGCGTGGTGCAAAATTTTGCAATAGGATGCGCTGCCCGAACAGGGCTCCGGCTGAGCTCTTCGTAACGCATGTGATTTTTTAAAACCAGTATAACGCCTTTTGGGGCGACTAACGGAGCGAGCGAGAGGGTGGGCCTTGCACGTGCGAAATTTCGAGGGGTACCTCCAACTGACTTGTGCACGGCACCTTACTAACCGGTCTCTAGCGACGTGCCAAATTTGAGCACAATCGGCCCAGCCGTTCTCGAGATCTGGAAGCGGCACCCTGCACGTGCGCACGTGCAAAATGGGTCGCAACTGACTTTTGCACGGCACCCTACTAACCGGTCCCCAACAGTGTACCAAATTTGAGCGCAATCGGTCGAGCCGTTCTCGAGATCTGGAAACGACCCCTGCACGTGCGCACGTGCAGCAGCACCCCAACTTTGGCACATGGATATGCAGTGCCTAGTGGGTGCCTACCTACATGCCAAATTTCAGCGCAATCGGCCAAGTAGTTACCGAGATATTGCAACAATTACAAAACTGACACCTCTTCGTTTTGCACGTGGCACGTGCATAAGGGGTCACCCACATGCATCGGGAATAGTCCAATACTTGGTAGAAGGAATGAAGCTACCCTACAAAAATTACCGCATGTAAATCGGTCAAGTGGTTGCTGAGATATAAGCCTCGCAAAAGCGTCCGTATGGCCGGCCGGCCGGCCGGCCGGCCGCTCATACTCAGAAATTTCCGTTAATCTAAGGAAAGACTACGCTCGCTTCGCTCGCTCCGTAATAAAACTAAAAAACTCGATGCATAAATTTTTAATGAAATCGAATGTTGAAAATGTTTTGATTTATCAGATATTAGACTTTTATTTTCAGTTAGATTATTTATTTATTTTTCTGAACCTCCGCTGTTCCTGTGACGTCTTTTGCAAGCAATAATTTTTCATTTAAAAGTGCCACAGATGTTGCGCGCAAGGATGTTGTGAGTGCCCAAACCGGTAATCGCAAGCCAGGGACCCCAATTTGGCTATCTCAACTCAGAAATAATGATAATGTGGGATGGTCAATTTCGTATAAATATATACTTGTTTGGTAATTTACATTTTTTCAAGGGAAGGTTAAAAAGAATACTAAACCTGCCGAGAATTGGAAAACATTGAATTAGCAGCCATTGGTGTCTTCCGCAGTTATCGGTGGAGAAAAGTTAAAGCTTGAAATGCAAATAAAAGAAAAATGTGGGTTGAATGGCTGTTCGCCATTAATTATCAACTCCTCCGGTGCTTTTTTTTCTGGTGCCGACATTCACCGATTACGGGCATGGCTTCAGGCGACAGCTTTCAGGAAGCTTGGGAAATGGCATGAGTAAGTACACGCCATTAGGGTGATTTGGCTGTCGTTGTCGCCGCCATTACGGAATCATTGCCGTCATCCGGACTATAGTTCCGGGCCGCTCCCCACTGAAGGACGACCGATCCCGTCACCACAGCCCGGATACCTACGGTGAGGAGCGGCGGCGGAACGCCGATTAGATGGGAGCGAGGAACAATGGTAGGGGCGAGAGACGGCTTATAAAGTGAACGGCAACTACCGTAAAATCGGTAAAACAGCTGCTGCTTATCGTATTTCCGGCAAACATAGGAGAATAGTGTCAAAATAGAGCGTCCACGTCACTCGCATAACAGGTCAAATAAGACCAGAATAGCATAGGGCTAATCTGCTTCCAATATAAAAAGTTGAAACGGGTGGCTATATTGCATACGGTTACATTTATTTGCTCTTTGACCTTGCGGTCTGTTAATTAATTATCCATGACAAGAGGGATGCTGATTTAAATAAA